CAACAGCAACAACAGGAGCGCCACCACCACCAACAGCAACAACAGCAGCAGCAGCAGCAACAACAACACTGTTACAGCAGCAGCAGCAGCAACGATGACGATGACAACGACCGCCACGGCCACCATAACAACAACAACAATAACAACGACAGACAACAACAGCAACGACAAACAACAACAGCAACGACAAACAACAACAGCAACGACAAACAACGACAACGACAACACCAACAACGACAACGACAACAAACGACAACGACAACTATGTAGTCTTTATTGGATTCTGGGCTCGATTTGGTTCAGTTTAAAGGCCGAAGGCTTTCTGTTTTTATATATTTGGGTCCGTGCAACATTTCCACGATATTGTTATGATCAATTAATGAGAATTGGCTGGAAAGTCTTCTTGCCTTTATCATTAGCATGGGTAGCTTTTGTATCAGGTGTTTTAGTAGCCTTTGACTGACTACAACAAACGACAACGATGACGATGATGACGACGACGGCTGCAACAATGACGATGACGACGATGATGACAACGGCGACAACGACAACAACGACGACGGCGATGATGACAATGACAATGAGGACGACGACAACAACAACACCTACAACGACAACACCGACAACACCAACAACGACAATGACGACAACGACTCGAAACTGCAGCAGGTGCAGAGTCCAGAGGTCCTGCAGGCTGCAGCAAGTGGCAGTGTAGGAACATCTACAAATGCTGCAGGTTCAAGTCAAGGATTAGCAGTAGCTGGTCCCTTCTTCAACACTTCACAAGTTGACAAAAGGGTGGCACAACTCCCTCCTTGTTATGATGGGAAAGTTGATATAACCTCCTGGTGTGCTCAAATGAGAGCATACTTCAAGGTGTCCCGAATACTGGACTCTGATCCATTCATGATTTTCGATACCCATTTGGAGGGCCCTGTCATGACTTTCATGGAAACTTAGTAATCAAGCGGTTTGAAGATCTACGTATTGCTCTGAAGGCCAGGAAAATCTGGCAATGAGGGGGAGACAGTGAACGGGGACGACGGAGGCATTGGAACAAAAGTATGGTAGATTATTCACCACTCTTGACCTTGAGATGAATGCTACCACGAGTTTGGACAGTGTTCGTCCCACGATCCCTGAAGAATACATTCGCCGGCTAGGACTCTAGATGTCTAAATTTTCTGATTGGCAACCCCTTATGTGGGAGGGAGGTAGTCGAGGTTGACGCCTTGGACCTCTCCAGTGCATAGGCAGCCAAGATGAATATTCATAGCAAGCGGTTTGGAGCATGGTTACCCCGGACCCGGACCCGGACAGAGCATGATGTCCGGCCGGACCTGCGTCCGGAAAATCCCGGACAAAAAACAAAACAAAAAAAAAAAAAAAAAA